AAGAAGTGTCAAAACCCGTGCAATTTGTTTGGCGCCTGTGGTGTGAACGCTGTCTGCAAACCCTTAAATCACGACAGAGTCTGCACTTGTATTCCCGACTTTACTGGAGACCCGAAAGCGCTTTGCGAACGGATATTACCGCCACCCGAGTGCACGTCTGACCCCCAGTGCCCTCTCGAACACATTTGCCAGAATCAGAGATGCAGTTGTAAGTGATTTGGATCCTAAAAACGCCAATTAAGGGCAAACATGTAATTATAAAATCATATTTATTATCAATATAGACGGATGCAGAACATCAGGTCATTGTCCCACCGATAAGGCCTGTATTAAGAGTAAGTGTACCAACCCTTGTGGTCATAGCGGCGCCTGTGGTAAGGAAGCCATCTGTCAGTCGGCCAATCACGTGGCCATTTGCAGCTGTCCCAGTGGTTATAGAGGCGATCCCGATGTCGAGTGCAAAGGTTTGTGACATACAAATATAAATATCCATTTATTTATATAAATTATAACATTTGAATCCATTTGTATAGAAATTCCTCCGGAATGTAGAGGTGATGACGATTGTGGTCTCGAAAGGATTTGTTTGAAACAGAAATGCATTGGTATTGATATTGATTGCAATATATTGTATGAATTGAATATAATTAATGGTAATGTCATGTATGCTATAGTCGGGTGTCGAATGCACAACAACTGTCCCTTCGATAAGGCGTGTGTGAATGGCTTCTGTCAGAGCCCGTGCAGTATAGGAGGCATGTGTGGCGTCAATACCATATGTAGAGCCGAGAAACACGAGGCCCAGTGCTCTTGTTTGCCCGGATATACAGGCGATCCTCTCAGACAGTGTACCAAAGTGTCGGTCGAGTGCGAAGTGGATAAAGACTGCGGAAATGGTTACGTTTGCGCCAATCAAGAGTGCAAAGACATCAACGAGTGTTTGAAAGAGCGCGTGCCCTGCGGTCCCGGTGCCAGTTGTACCAATTTACCAGGATGGTTCAAGTGCTCCTGTCCCATGTCACTGGTCGGTGACGCTTACGGCCCGGTGGGCTGTAGAGCTCCCCTTCCCGTCTGTTTCCAGGACTCCGATTGTAAGGACGAACAGAAATGCAATCCCGTTACTCAAGAGTGCTATGGTTTGTGTTCATTGATATTAATTTTCAAATTAATTCTTATGGTTATTATATAATCAATTTTTCATTATTATTATCCAACAGATATCTGTTCCCGACCGGGAGTGTGCGGTAAGGGAGCCATTTGTAAAGCAGTCAATTCGAAGTCCGAGTGTTTGTGTCCAGCGGGACATCGCGGCAATCCATATGTCGAGTGCTCTATCCGTAAGATTATTGATACTTTAATTAACATTGTTATAGTTATTAACACAATGTTTGTCATTATTAGGTGATTCGTGTAATAACAACGGCGACTGTCCCGGGAATCTCAACTGTTTGGGTGACTTCTGCAGTTGTCCCAAACCGTTCCAACAATTATCCTCTTTCTGCATACGTAAGCAATTGTTATAACTATTTTGCGATCATAAATGTTAACTCATATCTACTATAATGTTCAGTAACGAGTGTCAACTGTTCGACAAGCAATCCTTGCCCTCAAAACCAGGAGTGTGTCCACAGTCTGAGCAATGATTTGACCGGTTTCTGTATCTGTCCGCGAGGTTTCGTTCTCACATCCGACGGCTTCTGTCGAGATATCAATGAATGCGATCAACAGACCTTCCCGTGCGGTCCCGGAGCCATCTGTACCAACACTATCGGCAATTTCAAGTGTTCGTGTCCTCCGCACAGTTCGG